AAGAAAGAAAGAAAGAAAGAAAGAAAGAAAGAAAGAAAGAAAGAAAGAAAGAAAGAAAGAAAGAAAGAAAGAAAGAAAGAAAGAAAAAGGAATGGAAAAAAGGCAGCAGAAGGGGAGCTTGGGATGGCCACAGCCAAGCCCTGGCAGGAGGCAGTCTGCCTGTCACCCACAACTGACAGATGTGTTTGCAGACTAAGGAATGCTGACTCGCCCTTGGTGTTGAGGGATGTCAGGAATTCCAGCCTCTGTCCACTCTGACACTCCCACCGGACCCGTCAGCATCTGTTTACACCGCGGCCTGCATGTGCAGCCCAGGGAAGCTTGGACTAGAAGGGAGGTTTGGGTTTGGGGCCCACTGTGCCATTAGCCTGCTGTGTAACCTTGGATCAGCCACCGCCCCTCCCTAGTCTGTAAAAGAGGGAGAAATTGAATTTTTGCTCTATCTGCTCTCAGGGCTGCCAGGCAGATCCTAAAGGCCAGGGATAATAAGTTAACTGGAACATGGGTACCAAGGAAAAGTACTCTGTACCAACAATATCAATAATGATGATACCTATATTGACACAGCACTTAGTATGTGCCAGACATGGTCCTAAGTGCTCTACATTTATTATTATTTATGCGAAAAAAATGAAGGATGAGGTGGAAGAGCCAGCCAACCATCCACGTGGGTTACGAGGGTGGCATCCTCCATCCGCGGTAGGAAGGAGGTAGCAGAGACGAGACCGTGGGCTCCGCCCCCGACCAGAGCATGCTTTGAGGACTGGGGAGCGAGTACAAATCAGCAAGGTGACTGGGTCAACTGAGGGGCTGTTTTTCCAGGCCTCCAGATCAGAAGAATAGAGGGGGAGCAGGCTGCCCATGTTAGAGGTTTTCTCAGGTAGGTTCCTACCCCCGCTCCCTCAGGAGGGAGGCAGGGCAGACCCAAATCCTGTCCTGGATGACACGGAACTGTGTGGAGAGCCCGGGCCGGGCCCTCCCAGGGCGGGGCTGCCCAGCACGTAGGGCGACTCTCTGGGCTTGTCCCAGCATGGGGCACGGGGCAGAGGTCTGGGGGGGACACAGAGGAGCAGTCCGTATCCCCGCACGGCCAGTCGGCTTGCCAGCGGCCGTGCCAGCCCGAGGTCCAGTGGTAGCAACACGGCCCTGAGAAGCACTTACAGTGTGACCACAGCTCTCCTGTGGCCCCCAGCCCGCCACACGATATCCGCGATGGCCAGGGCCAGGCAGTGGGTCCTGTGGGTGTTTGAAGGCTGCAGCTGCCTGAGGATGAAAAAGGAAACGCGTCAATGACCATAGGGACACAAGACGGGGAATGTGCTGATGGCCCATCCTTTCCTCTGCCACCCAGTGGGGCGCCGGCGGAGCCTGGGGGGTACCCCCTCAGATGAGAACAGAGGGGCCCCGGGCAGGGCTGGGGGAGGAGCGGAGGAGGCTCTGGGGGCTTGGCAGGGCCAGGGGTGTGTGTAAAAAAAGGCCGTGAGTTCTGACAGAGGCCGAGCTGGCACACTGAAGTGCTGCCATACCGAGCAGGAGTTGTGCAACATTATGCCTGAATCGCACACCCTGTCTGGAACACACATGCTAGAAAACCTCTGGATGTGGAACTAAGGGTCACCTTTCAAACACTCACTGTGTCCCACACTAACTTACAGAAGCAGGTAATGTCTGACTGAAAGCTTCTCAGTATAGCCACAAAGGTTTAAAGCCACAATATGTTAAGTACTTAGCAGGGGCCAGGCCCTGTTAGAAGCACTGCACGTGTGTTGTACCACTCATCATTAAAACCACCCTACGGAGGAGGTACTATTTTTATCTCCTTTTAAAAATGGAAAAACTCAGGCACAGAGACTAAATGATTCACCCAAAAACACACGGTCAGTAAAAACTGGAAGTATTAAAACAGCTTTGAGGGAGGGAGAAGAACTTGGGGAAACGGAGCCGACGGTCTGGAGCACTTGGCTTTGGGAGCCAGCATCCCTCTGCCTTCGAGCCTGTCTTTCCAGCACCGTGGGACACTGTCAAGAGACCTGGCTCCTGGGCCAGGCCTGTCTTGCTGATCTCACAGGCTCTGATCACAGATCCTCTGAACCTCCGCATTTCTACACAGAAGTCCTCATTCTTTTCCTGCCTTCCAGCTACTCACTCTTCCAGGGTCTCCATCCTTCCCCGCGCATTCTCCAGCGTGCTTACGTGAGACGCAGTTTTCCAGAAAGCTCAGTGGGGCTGGGGGGCATGTGTCATGTCCGGCCTGGGTTCCATTCCCAGCTCCTTGGCCTTGGGGAAGCCCCTTGCCCTTGCTGGCCCTCACCTCCCCACCTATAAACGGGGCACTGGGCCAGATGCTCAAGCCTCATTCCAGGCTTGCCACTCCGCCATGTAGCCGGTGGCCCAATGGTAGACAGGGCCATGCATTTACGTATACGTGCGGATGACAATCAAGAGGAAGGAGGTGTGGGGTTCAATGGCCCAGACTCTACCTTCACCAGGTAACTCAGTGCCTGCCTTCACTGGTGACGCCTTGGTGGCAAGGACGGTTCTGCACCGCCTTTATCAGTCACACATACATTTATCGAACTCCTACCATGCATCTAGCACCTGGCTGGGCTCTTAAACCAAGAGAAGATTCTTTAAGAGTCTAATCCCACAGGAGGAGTACGGGATGGGGGATGGGGGTGGGGGAGTAATTCATTCTGCATTTGCCTAAATTATCTAAGCCTTTCAGAGATGTTGCTGCCATAATCATCACAAAATAGCCTGACCTGTCCACTCTTATATGCTCACTAGTCTGAGTTTATAAAAAATGCAGAGGAAAGCTGGCCAGTGAATGGAGGTGGGTTAGTCCATCCTATCACTCCCTCTCAGGGTCAAAAGGCGCTGTGTGGAGAAGGAGAGAAGGCTGGCCTGGGGGCCGCTGGACCTGGCTTCCAAGCCTGGCTCTGCTCCCAGTGTCTGCAGGGGTCTTGGGCAAGTGCCCCTCCTTCTCTGGGCCTCGATTTCCCCCCGTTTCAGAAGGGAAGTGGAGATGAGAGGACGAGGGTCCGGGGCTCACTCCAGGCCTGCAGGGCCACGAGGGCTCCTCGCCTCTGCCCACCGCCAAGCCGGCTGGCACAGCCCTCCCCAAGTGGAAAAACACCGAGGCCTGCCGCCCGCTCTGCCCTCCCCGACTGAGGAGAGGCCGGCCGCCCGCCCGATGCAACAAGTCTTAATGAAGCCAGACAGCCCCGCAGAAAAAAGACCACCCCTGCCAAGAAGGCTTTATTTCAGCGTGATTTCCCTGGAGGGTGCGGTCACATCCTCCGTGTGCCTTTCACAGAACCACTTCCCCAACCATCGTGAAGGGAGAGAGCGAAGAGGGGCCTCCACCGGCCAGGCCTGCAGACCCAGCGCGGGACGATGGCAAGCGTGGGGGCCCCCAGGGCCCGAGGCCGCCAGCTGCAGACGCTGCCAACGTGAGCTGTGCTGGGTGTTCCTGGAGGGACTGAGGAGTGTGCCCATTTTTTTCAAAAGACCTGGATCATTTCTGACATCCTGGGATTTCAGAATCAGAAGGGAGCACTAAGGCCTCACGCCCAGCCCATGCGGGAACATCTGCGGCCCAGCCAGTCAACACTGAGATTGAAGAGTCAAATCCGCGAAGCAGAGGAGCCGGGGACTGAGAGGCTCCCGCGGAGATGCCAGCTGTCACCCTCTGCTCACGTGAGGCAGCACGTCCCCAGGTATTCTCTGCATTATTCTCTGTACTCTTTCTTCTGTGTTGATTTTTTTCCCCCCATTAGGATAAAAGGGAAGGTTCTGCCGAGAAGCCCTTCATAAAACATGGAGCCACACATTGGTCACCCAGAGGCCTTCTGGGTGTCCAGCGACAGGTGTCTCAAGCCCGTGATGCTCAGCGTCCCGGCGCCAGCCCCTCTTGGCCTCTCTGGCTCTCCCATTGCCCAGAGTCTCTCGTAGGGCACGGCCCCGTGGCAGAGAGGGGAGGGGCTTACAAGGAGGCCCATAGCTGCGGGGCTCCAAGGAGGTGAGGTCACTTTTCTACAACTTCTCCTTCCGTGCTTCCTGGAAGAGGGGCCCCAGCTGCCCGGCCCAGGCCTCCTCTCGTCCAACCAGGCAGCCTCCCCCAGAGTGGGGCTCCTTCCCCCCAGGCACACCCACACAGCCCCTGCAGCCAGAAGCTCCTTCTTCCCCTTCTCCCTGGACCACCCCACACACACACACACTGGCTCCAGGACCCAGCTCAGCCACGCCAGCCTGGCCTCCCAGGGTCTTCAGTCCAGGCTAGCCCCAACTCCCCTCTCAAAGTCCCAGCACAGAGGCAGCCCCTAGGGACCAAGGCTGAATTCCTTCCCCCTCCCCCCCATCCCCAAAAGAGCCTCAACAAAACTTTCCACCTAATCCATATTTAAATCCAAATTTAAACACTTAAATTTAAAAACTGACACCTGTCAATGTAAACTGGGGCCTGCGTCAGTGCTTGGCCTGTGGCTGACTGACGGGCAGTGGGAGCTGGAGACAGCCTCGCTGGCACGGTCAAGATGGGCCCTGGGTGGAAAGAAGGCTGTACCACAGCTGGGCCCGTCTTGAGCCCCCTACCAGACGGCTTTCTGCCTCCCGAGCCCCGCCTCCCCTCTCTGGTGTGGGGGGCACAGCTCTCCCCCAAGGATGGGCCTGGGGATCCGGAGGCTTCCGCATCCCCTTAGTGGGCACGCATGGTGGCGATGAGGAGGCTGCCTTGTGCCCCAGGCAGACACGGCCATTCCTGGAACCAACTTAAAACCCTGCCCTGACTGTTAGGACATGATCCGCAACTTCCACCAGAAGTTCAAAGCCCAAGTTCAAAAGCAGCTCTGAAGGGGCATGGAGTTACAAGACAATCTCCCATGAAGGCAAAGGCCAAAGCTTGACCAGAGCAGGCAGCCAGGCCCCGAGGCCCCTCTGGCCGCCTGGCCCTGACCCATCCAAACTCTGCCCAGACCACCCCAGGCCACTTTCCTGGCCCTGCTCCCCCCGCCCCGGGCACTCCACACACGCTGTTCGCCTCACTGGAATATTACTCCTCTCCCCTCCCCGTGAGTTTGGATAACTTGTGTATTTGTCCATATGTTCATGCAACAAGAACTCTGAGAGCCTCCTCTGTGGACTAGGACCTAGGCCAGACGCCAGGGATGGGCCGGGAGCCAGGCAGCCCAGGAAGGCCCTGTTCTCATAGGGCTTGCGTTCTGGGGTGGGGGTTTGGGCAGATCGTGACAGGTATCAACTTGGATGAACAGGGCACCAATGGGTTTGGGGGCCTTGCAGGCAGGCCCAGGTGTGTCTCAACTGGGGAGGTCCACGAAGGCCTCCCTAAAGTCTGTGTGGTGAGCAGGCAGCACGTGGGGCCCAGAGGGCCGAGGAGGAGTATGAGGGGTTTGCTGGAAAGAGGAATTTGAGGGAGGAACAAGCATGCACGAGGAGGAGTGTGAAAGGAAATCAGAAGTCCTATTCACCCTCCAGGTCTCAGTAAGATGAAGATGTCACTCCTCCAGCAAGCCTGCCCGACCCTCTTCACGTCCGCTGAACCCTCAGCATCCTGCGAGTCTCCTGTAACCTCCTGGCCACTTGTCTGGCTCTCACAGTCCAGCCCACAGCTGTCTTATTGATTCACATCTTTCCTCCAAGCACCTGCTAAGTCCTCCCCGAGTGAGTCCTTCCAATGCAAGGAGCAAAGGTAGGCGAGTGGGTACAGGTGTGCTCAGAGGGAGTCCCCACGCCCTCTGCGAGCAGCCAGAGGACCCTCCCTGAGCACATTCCACCCAGTTAGGAGCGCTCATGAACATCCAGCCCGGGCCAGCCTCTTCGTGACAGTCAACAGCAGGATCTCTGTCCGTGACGTAAACGCAAAGCTGCCAGCAGCACTTTGCCGGGCTGGCCTTCCAGAGCAGGCAGCGGAAATGGTCCTGCACAGACGGGAGCAGAGATGGGTGCACGCGGGAGGGGTGGAGGGAGAGCTAGAGAAGAACAGGGCAAGTGAGATGTCACTGTGCTTCTGACTGGGTGACGTTGTGCTTATGGTTAGCATCTTTGACTTGAGAGAAAACATGTTGTTAAGTAACTAGACAAATTACATTATTAGACAAATTATAAAATGCCAAGCGTGAAAAGCTGCCTTCACTTGGACCCTGCCTAATGCAAAATCATCAAAGCTGATAAAGTGTTTCATTTGTACCAAGCTTGGCTGGATGTCTGGGGAACCAGTGTGTCTCCCAGGAATCTGAACTTGAATCAATGGGGAACGAGCCTTGTGGTCTGTAACACCCAAGCTTTTTTTTTTTTTTTTTTAAGATGCTGGAACGCCTATTTCAAAAAACAAGTGCTTTTAAATAAAGTTTAGGAACTGGCAAAACTAAGCTGTGATTTTAGAATCCGTCCCATTACGACTTTGCGGAGAACGGAGGTTGCTACTGGGCAGGAAGATTCTTCCAGGGTGCTGGAAACATCTCCTGTCTTGATTTGGACGATGTGATCACGGGTGTGTGTGTGGTTTGGCGATAATTTGTTAAGCAAAATATGTAATGAGTTGTGCACTTTTGAATTGCGCACTTTTCTGTATGTAAATTTCAACTAAAAAAGAAAAGAAAAAAAAAACAAGAAGACCGAGGGTCAGAAATTCAGCAGCGCTGAGGGTGACTCAGTAGAGGCTGGTAACTGGGCTCGCAGGGCGGGAAAGCCCGCCTCCCCCAGGAGGCCGCGCCGGCCCGGCCCCGGCCAGCACCTCGCCTACCCTCCGCCTTCACACCAACCACGGTGTGGGATGATGGCTTTCTGTCCCTCATCCCGACAGAGCACTTCTGGAGAACAGAGAATGCATCTACTTGTCTCCATGTTGCTTGTGTGTGCACAGAGATGTTCCAGAAACGTCTATTGAGTGGGTGAGAATGAGAATCAGGTGCCCATGTGCAAACACTTAATGAGAGCGGTGGAAAATCCATGGCCGAAGGGCGTGGAAGCAGTGTACTGTGGGGCCGGCTGGAATGTGTGGTCACGGCTGCCGGCAGAGATGAGGTAACATGGGGAGGGAGGCGAGACCCGAACTCAGCGGAGGGGTCAGCAGGTTGACGCGAGTGTGGACAGACGGCGGGCAGCTGCAGAGCTGGACTCCCGGGGAGGGGGTGGCCTGAGGTCCGACGCTGTACCAGCAGCTGCTTCCCATGCGGCACTGGACTTACTACCCCTCTCTGCCTTCACGCAAGTACACAGGTCATTTCACTGGTCAACACGGGCCCCGCTAGCCAGCCACCACTTCCCTTTCCAGAAGACGGGAAGTATCAAGGAACACACACGCCTCCGCGCTTGTTTTTTCTGGACACTCTGGGAAAGCCTTGGGGAAAGATATGGCTGGAATGAGCACGAACTTACCGAGCGCAGTCAGCTCTGCTATCGCCTTCAAACAGGAGTTTTTGTAGGACACAGCCTTGGACGGCTGCCAGAACCCCACAGGGACCACCCTGCAAGGACAGACGCGTGTTGGTGCCAGTGAGGACAAACGAGGACACGGCCACCCGCTCCTCCAGAACCAGCCTCTGCCCACAGGTTACAGAACACGGGGGCCCCTCGGAGCCACTGCCTCTGAAACAGGGGTCTCTGCGTGGTGACTACTCACACTAAGTGCTGACCCTGAGTCACAGGGAGGGGATGACAAGGCCCTGGCGCTCATCGCTAGAGGGAGGAGTGTCTACGACATCTGGTGGGAGGGAAGTAACTCCTCACGACAGTCAGACATGAAGCAAGGGACATCACCACGTTCCCAGTCGTCCAGGGAAATGCTTCCATGTCCACAGGCTGAGGGTGGCAACTGTCTCCCCAGCCTTCAAGGCCCATCCTAAAGGCTTCCTTCTCCAGGAAGCCTTCCCCAACCATCTCTGGCAGTTTCCAATTCTGTGAGCTCTTCTTCCCAGCTGTGGCCTGCCCCGGCACCCGTTAGGTGTGTTATTGTCCCCTCCCACGTCAGAGCGAGAAGGCTCCTTGAAGAGCTCATCTCTTTAGGCATCAACATGTACACGGACCGTCAGAGCACCAGGCCATGGGTGCCCTTGAATTGGGGGTGCAAAATGTGCTGAGCTTGGACATGCTGGGGACAGAAGCTGGTTGTCTTGGGGTTCCTCTCCAGGCAGTGTGGAGCAGGAAGGTTCCTGGGGCTTGAGAAATGGAACCAGGTTGGGCTGCTGGATTTAGAGGATCTTCTACCCTTTATGTACACATCTTGGGAAATGTGTATAAGCCATGTTCAAATCCTGCCACCATCCACCTACCCATCACACCTCCTCCTCACACCTGATAGCTCTGCCATTTTCTGCAGCCCCTGGATTTTCGCACGGCCCCCTCCCCCTTTGTTCATGCTGCTGCTGTATCAAATGTCCTTTCTCCAGCTCTCCCTGCAAAATCATTTCTCAGTACTCAGCCTCAAGACCCTCTCTGGCGCCCCCTCACCCCCCGGCCAGCCTGGGCCTCCCCCTGCTCCCTCTCAGAGGGGATTCCAGCATCACCCACCACTCGCAGTAGGGCTCATTCCCCAGCTTTTGCTCTGCCGGCCATATGTGAAATTCCCATACTTGGTGACAACTTAGCAAATGTGGGGCTGGCCGGCACAGGATGTAATGTTCACAGAATTTATCCAACTAGGGGACATCCCACCCCTGCCCATCCATGATGAACCTGCAAAAAGGTGCTGGGCAAAGCAACCTGCCTTGTTCTGCACAATGCCGTATTTCAACGAGGCTGCGTCACTGAACGAAAAACTCTGAAGTTTCCATTCTTCATTGAAGCAGCAAAAGCTGGAACCGAACAGAAGGGTCTTTATGTCCTGTCAAACGAAGAGAGAGTTTTATTGGTTGTTTTCAAAATAAACAACACACTGCTTGGTGTCTGTGTTCCCACAGGAGCTGGTCTTAGAATCCAGCAGGGCAGTCCATTCTCCAGAAGGGTTATCTATTCGCTTGTTATTTTGCAAACCCATTCATTCTTCTCATACTTGAGGAAAGATAAAATCTACCCTGAGGGTCTAAGCTCTGGAACATCTGTAAACCAAACCAGCCTGTGCTGACCCAGGCCAAAATCTGTTCAGGGTCCTGAGAGGAAACTTGAAACACAAAATTTTAGTTTTACAAGGGAACCTGGAGGTTCTTGACCGCATCTTATAATCACCTACCGAGCTCTTAACAATCCCGATGCTCAGGCTACATGCCAGACCAACTAAATCAGGTCCCCGGGCATGAGACTCCAGTATCTACATTTTTAAAAGCTCTCAGGTGATTCCAATGAGCAGCCAAGTTTGAGAACGGGTGCTCTAGGACAGGCTTAGCAAACTATGACCCACAGGCCAAATCCGGTCCCCCACTTGTTTTGTAAATAAAGTTTTATTGAAACACAGCAATGCCCATTTGTTTAGATATCGTCTATGTTTGCTTTCACATTACAATGGTCAGAATTACGTGGTTGTAACAGAGAGCCAAAATTACACTAGGTGGCCCTTTAGAGAAGTCTGTCAACCCCTGTTCTAACCCATTACTATATGTAAGAATCTCCTCTACAGCATCACCTACAAGTGGCTCCCCAAGGCCTCAGTTTAAGCACCCCTACCACCCAGTGAAGGGGTTCCTGCCACCTCCCAAGGCAGCCCCTCCATTTTTTCACAGCTTTCTTCTCTAAACTTCTGGCGGATGTTGAGCTCACTGTTCATCTTCCCTCAGCCCAAGCCCCACCCTCCAGAGCCCCAGAAAGTGCCAAGCCCTCCCCACTGACTGCCTTTGGGCAGGAAGGCAGAGCCTCCTCCTGGATACCCTCCGTCCACACCAGCGACCGCCTCTCTCTCCGCCATGGCTTCCCATCCAGGGGCCTCTGAAGGACCAACATGTGGATTCTGATGCCACCTCCCCAGACCTCTTCTCCGGGTCAGAGCTTTCCTACAAATTCAGATTATTTCCCTCTAGAATTGTTTTTGTTATTGTTTTTGTTTTTGTTTTTGTCTTTTCCCTTTTCATTGAGCACAAGGAAAACCTCTGCGACAGAGCGTCGAATGTGGGCTATCGGCACAGCGGGGAGGGATGGCTTGGTCCATCTGTCGGGGCCCGGTTCCCCTCCTTACCCCACCCGCAATCATCCATGTGTTTGAACTGAGTTCCCAAGAGCCCGGGAATCCTAGGGGCATGAATTCTCTAGCTGAAGCCTATGTGTGCCCTCTCAGTCCCAGAACAGCTCCCCGCTAGGCACAGCGCAGTCACCGGGTCACAGGGTTACGAGCCAGGAAACCTGGGTTCTAGGCCGTGATGCCGTGAGCCCTAGGCCCTCCTCTTCTCTGTGTGGGCCTCAGGTTTTCCAGAGGCTCTTGGAGATGCTACTGCTGGGTGGTCTTTAGGGGCCTCCGGACCCTTCCTGACGTGGCCCCCACTGCGGAGAATCACAGCCCGGTGGCTGCAGATAGCCAGAGCACTTTCTTCCAGGTTCGGGGCCACTCACACGTGTCTAGCCCTCTGGGTTTCAAAAGAAGGAAGGAAAAGGGAGGGGATTCGAGGGGAGGGACACGACTTCTAGAAAAGTCTTTGACTTTTTGCTCCGTGTGCTGAGTAAATACTTAGTAAGTAGGAAGAGAAAGGAGTCAGCTGTCCCAAGAGCTTTATTTTTTTTCCTCCTGAATCCTGGTTGAAAAGCCGGTAGAGGACAGGAACAGAATTCATCCCGCAGGAACTGCTGGCCGAGGGGAGGGGTGAGGTCACCTGGCAGCTGAGATGGTGAGGAATCCAGGACACCCCTGCAGAGGAGGCTGCTAAGGCCAGGAAGCTGCTCCCTAAGCCCTGTGACCAGGCGTCCCTCCAGAAAGACACTGATGTCAACCCAGAGGGTGCCGAAGAGTTGTTAACAGCTCCGCCCTTCCCTCACTGCAACCCAGCCGGAGCCCCGAGACCATACCAGAGCAAGGCCGATCTCATGAGGACGACTGTCCTGTTCCCATCCCAACTCTGGAGTGGCCCGTTGCAAATGTGGAGACGCTCAGGACAGAAGAAGGGGGTCCCGGAACGTGTGGATGGGAGCAGAGGAAATGGAGGCACCAGGACCAGGTCCCCGTTTCCCTGACTCTTAGTTCGGGTTTTTTTCTACATCACGTACAAATTTCCATTTTAACAATCGCCGTGAGGTTATAATGAGATAGATGGGTCCAGAAGGATCAAAATCACCTCATCTACACCCATTAAAATCAAGACTGTCTTCAATTCACACCACACCAGTTCACAGCCATTCAAATCAAGATATATCAACTTACACTTTTAAGTTGACACCTACCTTTGCCACCGAGAGGTCAATAGGCTTTGACACTATTTGCAGCTTGAGCATTGATGGGACTGGAGAGAGAATGACTTCCTCCCTTATCGATTCATCCTCCACATCCTCTGAAAGAAAACCATGGCTGTGCGAACACTCTGTTACAACTCGCAGAGAATAGAATATAAAGTTGTTAAACACCAAGGACACTGATGAACTCTGAGATGGTCTGAATGAAGAGAGGGCTCCTCCGCCACCCTCCCTCATTCCCTTTGGGGCCCCCAAGCCCTCATCGGAAGGAAAGAAGGCAGAGCAAGACAGCCCTTGCTCCTTGTCCAAACCCCACACTGGTCCACAAGGATGCTGGGGGGTGGGACTCGGCTACTGGTCCACTAGAAAGTTCTGCTTGTGGACATGCAGTGAAACAAGTGGCTAGGGCCTAAGCCACCGAGTCAGGCCCAGAAAAGCCTCACTCAGACATATTTCTTATGAAGGGTGGGCATGATGCATAAATCTGTCCCCCTGAGGACAAACATAAGGAAGGTAGAATTAGGAAAGAAAAGGTCACCATTTCTAATAAAATAATAGTAAGATTATTACTACTGTGGCTTTCATTTATTAACCACTTGTGTTTTATCACCTAAGCCCTGTAATAGCCCCTGAGGGAATAATTATCATACCCTCCCCCCCAACCCCGCCACCCCATCTATAGGTGAAGAAACTAAGGCTTAGAGAAGTTAAGTAACCGGCCTAAAATCATGCAGATGGCAAGTGGCAGAGACGAGATATAAACCTAGGCCGACTTCTCATCCTACCAACTAGACCTTCCTGAACCTCCAGCCAGAAGGGACACAAAGTCACATTCCAGTTATAGTCCCCTTAGAGCTGGGCGGCGAAGGCCCAGACGGGGTCCCACCATGAGTCTGGGCAGCACCAACCTGTGCCTTCCCAGCTGGCCAAGGCTCCCTCTCACCATCCCACGCACTGCAGCGGCGTTTACCAGAACTTGCATTTGAAGGACCCAAGTGACAACAACCCAAGGCCACTACGCTGGCAACCGAGTGGGCCGGTTTCCAGAGAACCTGTGGAGCCTTTTATTTTTTCTGTCTTCTCAAGATTAAATGATTACTTAAAAATCACACCACAATGTATAAAAATCAACATTCTCTCCCAAAAATTCTGTGCATCTGGGGCTATCGACACCTCACTATCCCTGCGCCACATCTTCTGGACATGGCGTCCGAAGGCCAGCAACCCCAGGACGTGACTTACATCTTATTCTACAGCCTTCTCTCCTCCCGTGGAGAAGGACCAGGCGCAGCACGAGGCCAACTCCTAGAGGCTCAGTCCACTGAAAAGGGACAGACGGATTCCGCCTTCAGGCTAAAAATTTTTTTTTTAATTCAGTAAGTCTGGGATTTAAATGAGAACCCGAATTTAAATGAGAACTCTTCGTTGTTGGCGTCTCTGAAAAAGCCACCCTGTGACGGTGGCCTTACCAAAGTGCCCTGAAATAAAGACCATGTTTACCTAGGTAACATGGACGGGTCTTAAAATCGTGGTGCCGGTGGAGACGGTAAGAAAGCACACGCGCTATGACACGACACGATCCGCAGCCACGACAAACGCGTGCACACGGAACGGCGCTGCCCATCTCACAAGGACACGCGCACGCAAAACGGCACTGACGGAGGACACGGGAATGGCTGCTCGTGGAGAAGGTCACGGGAGCCTGGGGCGTAGGGCTAAGGACAGGATGGGCAAGAGGGAGGAGGAGGGCAGGGAAGGGAGAGGGGAAGGAGAGGAAGAGGGGAGGGAGGGAGGGACAGAGGGAGGGAGGGACAGAGGGAGGGAGGGCGGGCATGCTTTGCAAAAATCAATACTGAGAATCTGGACTGGAGGAACAGAGATAATCCAACCAGAGGCCCAAAATAAGGAGAGAGTAACCTGAGTGATTTTGCCAGACGTGAAGGGCTCCCTGCAATGCCTCAGGGGAGACCGCTTCCTGGAGGCATAGAAGGGGCAATATTTAAGCCTATGCGGAGGCTTCGGTTTAGTCTGAGGCCGTCCAGGAGGCAGCCAGGGCTGAAACACGCTCTGCTCGGGCCCCGTGAAGTAAGTCTGAGAACAGCGGCCAGGTGCCCAAGGGCAGCAGACCGGGTGGAGACCCCAGAGGACGCAGCCTCTCTTGGCTTCGGCCAGGGGGAAGTTGGCCCCCGTGCAGGGAGTTGGTTCAGGACCACATAGCAGGCCTCGGGCCCAGATGTGGCTGGACCGCCATGCAAGGGAAAAACAAAGCACTCCAGAATGACATGTTGGCCAAGCAGACAAAACTGTCTGCAAATGCTGGCGGTTTGAGAATGCTATTTTTAAGGCCCTGGGATAAAATGTCTGGTTGAAAAGAAGCTAGAGATTTTATTTCCCATGGCGTTTTATTTAACTCT